GAAAATATTTTTGTCCTATAAGTAGGGAGAAGTAAGTACTATAAGAAGAGTTGGATCATCATCCCTTTTGTTGTGGGTGAGTAGGTGATTGAATCCAACCCCATCTCATGTCACCAAAGATAATGAAATAAAGCCAGAAAGCTTACAGGTTCAGTTTGCTTGTGAAATGCCTCCAGCCTTGACTTAAGAACAGCAGCAGTATCATCTTTACGTTGAATCAAAGGCTCTCCAGTTACCTTCAAGAAATCAAAACAAAGAAGCAAGTTTGTGACATGCTTTCATCTGCTGACTTGCAAAAACATTGATGCAGCTAGCACAGTGATCACTGTGGAAAACTTGTATAAGAAACAGTCTCAACCATATTCAAATAAACTTGATTATTTAACAATTTCAAAAACCAACACACCCCAAATGCGGGTGCTGAATGGATTCCCTGTGAACAATTTTCTACTAACTCTCTTAAATTACCTAATTCGATGCCACCGATGTCTTGATCAAGGGTTTTAGTCAAGATAGATAATCCGTGGCTATATTACCTTCCCTTGACACATATGCAGCCCCTTGTCAAACAATAAACGGACAATACTCTCTTGTTTCAATATTTTTTTTTGAATAACCTGTCCATAGACATTTCTACAGCTATATAAACAGGACACTGCCACTTAGACTAAATATTGACAAGTCAAATCCATTATTGGCCTAATCAACCTATAAGAATAATATCAAGAGTAGACAATCATAATTACCAAGAACAATTCATAATTGCTTTCACAGACTCCCATATTTTGAAAATTGATATCTACAACAAATGTACACCCTTTAACCAGTTTCATTTCCCCTATGTTCTCCCATCACCTATATATACATCCGAAAATCCATTTAAATAAAACGAGATAACAAAAAAAATGTAAGAGAAGGATCGTTCATGTTCCCTTACATCATCAACACCAGGAGCCTTGGGAGGTGCAAATTTTGTATGGTAGGTTCTACCACTAGAAGGATGAATCCAGCGACCCGTGATCCTCTCCTCCAAAATTGCATCATCAATTGCAAAATTCAGCACCTTATCAATTTTACTTCCCTGCTTTTGAAGCATGTCATCAAGCTGTGCACATAAAAGGTAAACCATTTATGGTTAGAAACATCTACAAAACAATCAATTGAATATGTCCAATGCTAGAAACATATAAAAACACACACTGAAATGTTTATATTTATTCAAACTCACACATATATTATACAACTAGATAGCAATACCTTCTGTGCTTGGACCACAGTCCTTGGAAATCCATCTAGAATGAAACCTTTCTGACATGAAGGTTTCTTCATTGCTTCATCTATAATGCCAACAACCAAGTCATCAGAAACAAGTTCCCCCTGAGAAAACCATATGAAGCACTCCATTAGCTAAATCCAGCAGAACTATGAAAAAATAAACAAAGATGAATCATGAAAGATAAGAATGGTTGCAAATTCAACCTTTTCCATTGCCTCCTTAGCCTTGATGCCAAGAGGGGTTTTGGCAGCAACAGCAGCTCTCAACATATCACCAGTAGCCAAGTGGCATAGACAGTACTCATCCTTAATGATTGGTGATTGAGTACCTTTTCCAGATCCAGGAGGGCCTGCCAAACACAAAACTAAAAGATTACAACCATGGAAGCTTCTGACCAAAGCCAGGGTTTGATTGACTGATTGGTTGCTACCAAACATACTGGAATCAATAAAAGTTTTCACCAAATAATATGAATACCAAAATATGCATTTGTCACTACATGAGTATGTACTGAGGTGGTCAATTGCCGGGGCATTATGCAGCACACATGATATTATCACAGGATACACATCGTGGATTTGAAAGTTTAATAAAAAAAGTAGTTCAATATTCACAAGTTCATTCAATTCATTTTGTCCTCCTAGTTGAATCAAATTCTAATTATTTAACCACGCTTATTTCAAAGTAGCCGTGTTAATTTCAAATATTAACTCCCAACTAGGCAGGCAGTCTAAAATCTTTTTTTTTTTTTTTTGAAACAAGCAAGATGCTAAAACAAGCAATCAGATAGAAACCAGAAAAGCCCCAATTGGGTCTGTTATGTGTCACTTAGAAAGTTAACAGATAAGAATTTTCGGGGCAAGAATGAAAATAAGCCAAGACTAATTTTGGAGAAACGATTCTTCATACAGAGTTACAATAAAAGAAAATAAAAATGTTTAATGCAAAGAAATCCATCAAAACCTTTATCTACTAACGTAGAGAGAAGGATGATCGTGCCATTGTCTCAAAGAATTTCCACTGAATGGAAAGAAGTTCAATTTCCAGATTAAACGTGTAAAAGACGATGGGTGAAGATCGACGTGGTGAACTCTCTGAGTTCAAAAGAAGATTTTGCAATATATTTTTTTAGAAATGCCCGCCTTTTAACAAGAAATGTCAAAATTCCATCTTGTGAGTCTCAGAACATTAACTATTCAAAACAAAACTGGCCATAAACACTGCAAATCTTCTTTCTACCACGCAGCATCATCAACCTTCAATTCAATTTTGAAAATATAGCCAAAGATTGACATGACTTGACTTGCGATACAACGCTGGCACAAAGTATCTAAGAAAAGTAATTCTAGTTTTACATTCATTAAATACCGCATCTCAATGTAATCAAAAACACAAAAACCGGAAAAATCACTCGCTCGTCTAAAATTGCCCCGTAAAGAAGGTTTCTTTAATATGTCCTCAAATTCCCAACTCTATGAACACGCAAAAACGGAAACCCCACTTGTCAACTAAAGCAACAGTAAAAAAAAAAGCTCTAATCTTTTCCTTTTCCTTTTCCTCAATTACCTCAGCAACTAAGCAAACAGTGCATAGTAAAAAACAAAAGAAAACATCTTAGCACAAAAACACCACAGAGTTCCTGGATCTGAATGCACCATGGAATTAAAAACCAAGAAAGACCAAAACTTTAGGAAATGCAAATCATGCTACATAAACAAAACAAGGTGCGTAGTTTACTTGTAATGTGGAGAGAGAGAAAGTGGAAGAGTAAAAAATGAGACAAACCGATGAGTATGAGACGCTTGTCGGGTTTGTCAGCACACTTCATGCGACGGAGGAGCTCAGTCATGAGATCCAGTGACGGCACATCTTCCAAGTTTGCTGCTGTTGCTGCTGCACTGCCTGCCATTCTTGTCTAGTTGAGAAGGGGTCTTGTTTTGTTTAGGATTTTAATTGTAGTGAAACAGAAAAGGAGGGGGTGGAGGGTTTATAGGCAGAGGGGTATGGCTGTGAAACTGAGAAAGGTAGGTGTGTTCTTGAGTTAACCGTTCGGACCTTCCAAGGCTTCAACTTCAAGTAGTTCTCTTCTGGTCTCCTCTTAAGTCCTCCCACTTCTCTAAATTTCTCTTCTGCCCTCCCTTTTTTTCTTTAGTTCTTTTCTTTCGTTCTTTTTTTTTTTAAAAAAAAAAGTTTATATCATAATGAATTTAAAAGAATTTAATACATTTATGATTTATGTACATGCTTCCCTAAAATTTTAAACCCGAAAAATGAAAAATAGTCAACTTTTTTAATAACCTACGTGTTTAATAAAAAGATTAATATAATTGAAGCTATAAAAACATAAAAGTAAAATTAAAAATATTAATTTTACAGTGCTAAAATTTCAGGAGAGGATTTAAAGAGGTATTTGAAAGTGTGGTTTTTAAAGTGTTTTGTTTGAAAATATATTAAAATAATATTTTTTATTTTTTTTTAAATTTTTAACATTAACTCAATAAAATAATTTAAAAATTAAATTTCATCAGACGTTATTTTTAGAATGGGAGAAGCAAAGTCCTGATTTTGTTTGTCTA